TGGAAATTAAGTGAACTATCTCTGACAATCAAGCAGGATTTAGAAAACACAGGAACACGGTGGAGCACATGGCATACCTTTCACATGAAATAAAAAATGGTTTCCACAGAAAGCAAAGTACATTGGCGATTTTTGTAGACTTTAAGCAGCATTTGATAAAGTCTGGAGAGAAATGCTGTTACTAAAAATTAGAAATATGGGTGTGGCAGGTAATATGTTCAAATGCATTTATTCTTTTTTAGCACAAAGACATATCCGGGTAAAATATAATGGTGTAGTTTCACCTCATAAACAGACAAGAAAATGAGTCCCCCAGGGTGCAGTTTTAAGTCCAATTTTGTTTAACATTATGATTAATGATGTAATTGAAATACTAGATGCTATTCCCAGAGTTCAAACACTTCTCTATGCAGACGACTTAGTTATCTGGGCTACTAGTAGCCACATGAAAGCTATTGAATGCTGCTTAAATATTGTATTAATATCATTACATAAATGGACGGTGGACAACCAGTTTGAGGTTAATACTCTCAAAACTCATTATCAAATCTTTACCCTCTCGACTAAAGGACAAGAAGTAGATATTATATGTAATAATGAGAAGCTGACTCAGACTGATTCTGCAACATACTTGGGTATAAAATTAGATTGCAAACTTACTTGGAAGAACCATTTAGATAGATTAATTGAGCAAGGAGAAGGCAAATTAAGCTTGCTAAAAAGACTGGCAGGAATTAAATGGGGCACTCACGAACAATTACTAACCCTGGCATACAAGTCATACATAAGACCAGTAATGGAATATGGTGGTGAGATATTATTGACTGCATCAGAAAATTCACTGCATGCCTTAGATGTGGTGCAAAACAAGGCTTTGAGACTGATTACAGGGGCTGCAAAATCCACACCAATTGCAGCTCTTCAGTTACAAACGGGAATAGAACTACTTCAAACAAGGAGAGAAGTGGCAGCAATCTGCCTTACAGAGAGAATGTAAAGACTAGGTTTGAAGTACTGGACTGCTCAAGAAACATCTGACCAGCGCCTCAAGACGCACAAACCACTAAGAGTAAAAGTTAGAGACCTACTGGAAAGAAAACACATAGATCTATGCATGAGTCTGTCATTTAATAAATGCAATGACCATCAAAGATTTATTGCAGAGGCATGGCTAGATCTAACACAACCAGTAAGCAAACACCAAACACCTGAGTGGGAATTGAAAGCGCTTGCTTTGGAAACAATAAATAGCCGCTATTCCGAGCAGAATTGGCTCCTCATATACACCGACGGCTCCGCTCACGCTACGCAGAATGCAGGAGCAGGAGTATACTGCCAAGATTTCATGTTATCCATCCCTGCTGACAGCCGGGGAACAAACTTTGATGGAGAAGTCAAAGCCATTTCGGCAGCATTGACTGAAATAGATAAAGAACTTACCTATTCCCAAGTTGTAATCTTTGTCGATTCACAAGCAGCCATACTGTTGATCTGCAATGGCCTGGACCATCCTGATGTCACTAGTGCCAGAAATCAGATTAATGACTTAATTTAAAAAGGCTTTCCAATGGGTTCCAAGCCATTGCTTTCGGGCTACCAGGAAACGAAAAAGCTGATGACCTCGCACGGATCGCCTCGGAAATGCCACAAACTAATCCCCTGCTGCCCTACGAATCTGTTAAAAGGATTTTAAAATCATTTTACAAGGAAGAGAACAAGAGTTGGCAAAAGCGACAGGCAGCAGGGAAAAAATGGGAATGTTAAACAGAGGAGCCGATAAAACAAACCAAAAATAGGAAAGAATCGGTGGCAAACTTCCGCATGGCAACAGGGCACAATTACCTGCAAAGGCATTTACATAGAATTGGAGTGGTGGAAAGTCCTGTGTGCCCTCTTTGCCAACAGGATGAGATGTACGACCTGCACCTCCCAGTTTGCCCCGCTCTGTCAGATGTCCGCAGTACTTCTGATGGGATCGGAACAAATGTAAACAAAGGATTCATGGTGGAGTTGTATTGGGATGCCAGAAAACGAATGGCCTAATAGCCAACGGCAGAGGCATTAATTAAAAAAAAAAAATAGTTCTAGATCTGATATTATATTTAAATAATTAGGTATCAACGTGCGTTTATTCCAAAAAATCGTCATGTAACTTTTAAGAAAATTAAATTAGTCAATAATTTGATAAATTTTCCCTTTGTGAAATCCCAACATTATCATGTCTTCCTCCAAAGTACCTTTAATTTGGTTTAATATGAATAATAACTATTTCTCATTGTTAGGAGTTATGAAAAAATGCTAAATATAACTTTTGAAAGAATTTGATAATTGAATAAAAGAGAGAAAAAGAAAAATACTTATCCAGGCCAAAAATGAATATCCGGAAATAATAGTCAGAAGGTATACATTAAGATAACGTTGGAAAGCGGAGAATAAAAAAAAATATATATATATCTAATATAGAAAGTTGTACAAGGTAACGGAGGAAAAAAGGTGGCGAAAAAAATATAAATAATAATTTCTAAAAACTAACATTATTTAACGTAAATCACGTGCTTTCAAGGAAATTAAATGAAATTTTCTTACTAAATGTAAACTTTAAAAAATATTTTTAAGTTTGAAAACATATTTAAAATCCAGGGATTCAAGGCAATGACATTGTTTAAGATACTATTTCATTGTACTTGTGTGAAAGAAGAAGTGATAATCCAACAATATCAACTTACAATTAGTGTGACAACTTTTGACCTGTCTGAAAGACAAAGCAAATCTCTTAATTCCATTTTAGTAAACTTTGCAATAGAAAATAACAGTTTAATAACTAATAGTCGTACAATCCATAATCAACCGGTGATATAATAAATAGGACTTTTGTTATTTTAAAGGTATTTACAATTTGTTAGCTGTAAGCATTTAGCTTTAGCTCGGTTAAAAATGTAATTAAAAAATTTTATAATAGCCCAACATGGTCAGAAAATAATTTCTATTCAAAGTTGAGCGGTAAGTGAAAGTTGTGTGTTGTGGGCACCAGATTTTCTATTTTGGAACACCGTTCCATAATCATATTGATCATGTTAAATGTGAACTTACCTTGTTGATCCAACTACTTTTTCTAGTCAAAACCTCACTTATCGGTAAGTTTTGTGATATTCCCTATTTATATCTATAGAGTGAATTTTTTCCTCCCTAACATTCTCATCTTGGTCCTTGTGCCAGCATTTCCTAGGAAGTCCTGTTTTCCTTTATGCCAGGAAGGATTGTCTTGTGATGATCTTCACCATTTATTCATTAGACAACCTTTCAACATATAGAAGCTAGCTTATTCTTCTCGAAATTATAAATCTCTCAATGTCCTCATGGTTATATAGCTTATCCATTTTTTTTGTTATTTCTTATGCACAAGTTGGTATTACCATATTATTTTTTTCTTTTTTTTTTCGACTCAATCTCAAATTCTAGTTTTTTAATGTCATGGTCCATCTTAATGAATAAATATTTCTAACGTTATTTTCAAAAATGAACTTGTTTTGCTCAAAAATTAATTGGAGATTAAAAGACAGTTTTTTCTAATAAAAAAATAATACAAGTAACCGATTTTCCAAAACTAAGTATTTTTTATTGTTGTTTTAAGTGCAAAATTTTAAACAGTAGTATTTGTTAGTGGTCAGTTTCATTCTAGTTATCTTCTCTGATTTTGTTTTATTTATTCTAGCTGATTTCATTTGTTAATTACAAAACTAACCTCAATTATAAGTTTTTTTTTAACAATTAGCATCTGTTTTTCGGATAATTGTTAGGTTTTAACTATTTTATTATCTTCATCTTAGATTCTTATCTTGTTTAATCCTATCTTTTATCACATTATGCAAAGTGTTAATATTTTGGATTATGATAAAATAGACATTCCACATAATACCTATCTGATTTATAAATTTTGTGTATAGTAATTTCAGTAAAATATGGAATTATTACTTTATTTTCATAATTACTTCCTCATATTTATATAGGGTAAAAGCACCAATAGTTGACATTGTACCAATATGTGACATCCTCTTCGAAAAATGGGAATAATCAAATTTCAGGACTTCTTAGACCTCTATTTCATATATTTTTAGTTTCTATATTTTCTCCTTGTATATTTGTTTGCTTTTCTTTAGTCTTGCCGGAAATCACAACTGAAATAATGAATGGCAAATTAGGAAGGTCCCTCATGGTCCACTTAGGGTCCCAGTAACAACCATCTGTCTGCAAGAGCACCATACCTTAGGTTTGCCTTTTTCTCTTTTACCACTCTGATTTATCCCAAAATTTTTGTTTAATTTTTTTTAAAGTGTTTTTAAATTATGTTTTATCTATTTTTAACTTATCTTGATGAAGGGATGGGATATTTAATGGGTGTCAGCTACTGAACTCTTATAATGGAGTCTTTTGCCAGTAGTTGACAGGCCTGTATTCTCATAAATTCAAAGGGATATACTAATATAATAGGTCTTAAAAATGGGACCATTCACTACTCTCATTAAAAAAAAAAATTGCTAATGATTTGGATTAAATATAGAGCAAAAATAGGTTTTTCTATTGCCAAAACAGGTTCTTAACAATGACCAGCATTTATTGATAAATTTAAGTCTGGAAACGCATGAAGTTAGTTTTGTGATTAGTTAAAGGTAATTTTCATTAATTTTAAAATGAAGAATATGAAATTTCGCTTAATTACATCCTTGTTCTCATCCCTGTCAGTTTTAGCAACATTCCAAATCAAACAGTGTCAGCTACTGGTACAACAAAACTATTCTCTCAATTTCAATTATTTTTAATTTAGATAAATGTTTCATGGATTTTAAATATGTCTTGGTAAGGTGAGAAGTAGTTCTATAAGACCAATTCATGAAAAATAATATAACATCAATATTTAAGTTTTTATACGTAAAAGTTCAAAGAAATTTCCTTTTACGCATTTACTCTAGTGCATTTACCCTTAAAAGATATTCTGCTTCCAGGCTTAAAGATGATAAGGTTATGGATTATGGTGAAAATAGCCATTATGCATCTAACGATAATAAACTAATCATACAAAAAACAAATGAAGATGATATTCGACAGTATAGTTGCTTACTTTCTAAGAAGAGTACACCTAAGAGCTATGTGGCCAGAGCAGATATTAAGACCCTGGGTGAGTATATTTTCTATATATTATACTTATGAATTATTTGGTTTTCATACTTTAATTGTATCTTGTGGAATGTTTCAGGTATACCTACTGCAAAAATACTCTCACAAGGAACATTTATTGAAGGTCAAAAGATTACTTTAGAGTGTGTTGTTACAGGAAATCCAACTCCGACAGTTGAATGGCGTTTTGGTAAATATCTAATACCTTAAATATTTTTGGTAAAGATCTAAAAGGGTTTCAGACAATGTGATGTCTTGTTCATGCCACTATACTAGAATCTCATTCTCTGACTTTCCTCGAGACTCGGATTGTTAATTTGTGCTTGAAATGTTTACACTACAAATTATGTAAACACAAGTGTGGCTCTAATATTTTTAGTCAGTTTATCTTGTACCATGTGAACCATTCTTCATAATTTATATTCTGAACGATTATCTATCTCATGTTTCTGTATTGTTAAATAAGCGTGAGGTCTATCAACATTACTATTCAATAGATCAGTGCTCAGAGTATAGAGGTATCTTATTTCTTGAATTAACAATTATTTTAAAATTATAAATTTGAATGGATTTTAGCGGTATATGCCCATATGCCCATGGAAGATGATTCCACTGATGTGCTTGCCAGATGTTAATTCTTGGAGTTTCCTTTAATTCTGGTCAAAAGACCAACAATTATCAGAACATATCTGAATGCACAAATGTTTGCCATTTAGCATTTTAAGTTCAGGGACATTTTTAGCATCATGTAGCTAGCTATCTATGGCCCACCAAGACCTGAATCTAAAGGCAAGTACAGCAACTAATTAATGGCAATTTTTTGATATTGGTATTTTCCACTTCTATCTAACAATTAACTACAAGTTAATAGGATACATATCAACATTGGGCAACATGGCATAGTAGGAATTTGTGACTTTTGGTTATTGACCATTGACTATCCTTGTTTTCCATTTCAAAAATAAAAACATTGGTTAACGTGTATAGTGAACTTTAATTTTTTAACTAGTGATGTAATCCAATTATTTATAATTAGCAGCATAGTACACTGACAGGCAAAAAATTCCACCCACTTGATTTTTCCATGTTTTCATCTAAAAATATTTCTGTAAAGTTGTATTTGTATATAATACATGGTATTTGTAGATAATACTTAGTATTTATGGAATTTTATAATCTTTTTTACCTTTAATAATCAAAATGTGATTGGGTTAGAAAGATTAGAGAAAAAAAAATTGAAAAACGAACCATTATTATTCTAAAAGAAATTAATTACATCATCGTTTAGTAGCGCGTGTTTCCTCCTCATGCCTTCACTATTTCTTGAAGACGCCTCGGCATACTTTCCACCAATCGGGAAATGTCCCTTCGCTGGAGGATAGCCCATTCCTCACGAAGAGCCCTTTCAAGGTCCTGCAGTGTATCAGGAAGTGTTGCATGCGCTCTTATTCTTCTTTTGAGGTTATCCCATAAATGCTCAATGGGGTTCAAATCTGGAGAACGTGCTGGCCAGGCTAAAACCTCAATATTGTTCTGTTGAAGGAACTTCTGCACTATGCGGGCGACATGTGGGCGTGCATTATCGTGCATTAGAATAGAACGATCGCCGATTTCGTTGAGGATAGGCAACACATGAGGTTCCAAAATCTCATCTACATAGCGAATGGCCGTCAAAGACCCTCCACGAACAACAACCAATTCTGTGCGGCGCTCCATTGAAATCCCAGCCCACACCATTAAGGAACCACATTGGAAAGGTTGGCTCTGGGAAAAATTACAGGCTGCATATCTTTCGTTTCTTCTTCTCCACACCCTTTCACGCCCGTCTGGAGATCAAAGAGCGAATCTTGACTCATCTGTAAAAAGTACAGCACTCCATACGTCCATAGTCCAATGGCTGTGTTCTCGAGCAAAAGCCACCCATGTTACTCTGTGAGTTCTAGTCCTCTTACTGGACGAAAAGCCATTAATCCATACTCATTTAATCTTCTCGGAGCGGAACGTTCAGAAATTTGCACACCTCGAACTTCTTCGAGCTGATGAATCGCTTGAACAATGGTAAGGTGTGCCGGTTTCGTAAAATTCTCAAAGTCAAAAATCGGTCATCCCGTGGTTCTGTTACCCTAGGCCATCCAGAACCGGGCCTTCTATTGTAAGAACCAGTTTCCTGAAAACGCCTGACGGTGTCTAGTAAAGTTTCATATGGAACTCCCATGGCATTAGCTGCATATCTAATGGAACGTCCATCATCAATAAGTGCCACACCACGCGCAACATCCTCAGCACTAAGAGGCATTTTTAAACTTAATATTGAAAAAATTAAAAGCCGGAGACTAAGAAATTTGCTGCAAGAAATGGCACTGAACTAATGATACTGAATAAACATTTTGATTCCATAGAAAGTAAACATTGGAAGCTAGAATCATTTCATTGAATTAAGGATTAAGGTTATTGTCCTCTATATTAACATTTCTAATTGAAAACAAACAAAAAGATTACCTATTTATTCATTAAAAACAATAGACCAATCCAAAGCAGAAATATTTTTAGATGAAAACATGAAAAAATCCTCATCAATGAGTTGCCAACATTTTGTAGACTGGTCTGTATATACCTCAAGATCCTTCATTAGTTTTTATTTCAAAAGTAAACCAGAAGGTTTTTAACAATAAACCAAAAAGTTTTTATTTTATCCGTACGACACAAAATTTACTGTGATTTTACTTATGTATAATATGCTACTTGGCAGAAGTGCAGTGTTTTCAGATAACCTCATGTTTAACTAAGCCTTTTTTGTTTGACTAATGCTGATTTTGTTTTTAGGGAATTCTACATTTACTTCAAGTACTGGAAGGATAACTTTGTCAGATAGCAAGAATGTTCAGAATGCTATTTTACAAATTGATGAAGCTCAAATGCTTGATCGTGGTGAATACTTGTGCAGTGCTCATAACATTGCTACCTCACATCTTAATGCTACTCGAGTAGCTGTTACCTTTGTCAGAGTTAAAGGTAAAAACCAGTTGATTTCAAATTTAAATTACTCTTCTAACTTTTTTTTTTTTTTTTTTTTTTTTTTATTGAATAATAATACAATCAGCCACTGTTGGAGGGCTATAAGTATTAAGGCTAGAAGTTCTCATTCATACAGTATATACAAGTAATACAGAAGTAACTATAAATATAAGAAGTAAATAAATAATACTTATAAAAAAAAAAGAAGAAAAAAAAAGTAATCAATAGGAAAAAAAAAATAAATAAATAAAATTAAAAAAAAAATAAATAAACAAACAAAATAAAATAACAACTTCTAAACACATTCATACCTATATACAATATATACATTCGCCCAGGAATCTCCGAGCCAGGCTTTTCTCCCCACATGTGGAAAGCAAAGCAGGACTCCAGAGATCCCAGTGCCACTTTTCCAGCCGCATCACTAGTATTAAAAGCCAGTGGAGGCTGAAGGAGGGCACTAGAGCCACAGATGCTCAGGACTTGAGTGGAGAAGCTGGCCATTGCCAGGACTCCAGAAGCATATTTACAATAGATCTCGCGGCCACTGCCGTTTTAACCTTCGAGGGGGATTGTAGGGATGGTGGGAGCTGGATAGGGATTGAGCTAGAGGATTTGGATGATGGATAAGGTTCTGGTGAAAGTTTGAGAATCTGGATGGGATGATGTCGAGGACAAATGGGATGTTAAGGTCATGGTGTAGGGTCTTATTTGTGACATAATATGGGGCATTGACTATTGTTCTAAGTACTTTGGACTGGAAGGATTGGATGCGTTTGATATTCGAATGTTTAGCAGTTCCCCACAGTTCAAGTCCGTAGGTCCAGATAGGTTTCAGTATTGTCTTGTAGATTAAAAGTTTATTTTCAATCGAAAGATGAGATGTCCTGCTTAGTAGTCTATATAGCTGGCCATATCGTTGGTTAAGTTCTTGTCTTTTAAGTCTTGTATGTGGGTTCCAAGTTAGTCTTTTGTCTAGAAGGAAGCCAAGGTAACGGACTGTATCTGAGTAGGGAAGTGGTATTGAATTGAAAAGGATTGTGGGACAGGATCTGCGTCGCAGGGTGAAAGTAATATGTTTGCATTTTGCTTCATTGATTTTGATGCGCCAGTTGTTGCACCACTGTTCAATCAAGGAGAGGTGAGATTGTAGGTTTAGAGATGCTATTTGAGGATCTGAGTGGGAAGATAGAATGGCAGTATCATCAGCAAATGTAGCTAGGAAGGTATCGGGATTTGAAGGGATATCGGCAGTGAAAAGGATGTAGAGAACTGGACCCAAAACACTGCCTTGTGGAACACCAGCCTCAACTGGATAGTAAGTGGAGAATTCGGTGCAGCAACGGACTTGGAAGGAACGATTTGAGAGATAGGATTTGAGGACTAGGTATAAGGATTGGGGTAAATGGGTTTTGAGCTTGAAAAGCAAGCCATCGTGCCACACCCGGTCGAAAGCTTGCGCTACGTCCAGAAAGGCACCAGTGCAATATTGCTTGTTTTCAAGTGCAGAGGATATATGGTCCACAACACGAAGGCCTTGTTGGACAGTGGAATGTCTTGAGCGGAATCCAAATTGATGAGAAGGGATGTTGTGGGATTCGAGTATGGGTAGGATGCGTTTGAGGAGGATTTTCTCAAAGATTTTTGAGAGGATAGGGAGTAAGCTTATCGGTCTGTAGGATGATGTGTTATTAACGGGTTTGCCTGGTTTTGGAAACAGCACGATTATGGAATGTTTCCACACCAAAGGAAAGTTGGTTGTGCGAAGGATGCAGTTGTATAGATAGGTAAGGAATATGATTGCTTTTTTGGGAAGTTGTCTGAGGATTTGTGAAGTGAGGAGATCATATCCAGGGGATTTTCGGGGTTTTAATTTGTTTATGAGAAATTTTACCTCAGAGGGGTTAACAGGTTTTGGAGGTAGAGAGAGAGGAATTGGTGAAGAGAGAAATTCTTTAACTTCAGCAGTGTGGGTGGGATGGAGTTCGGGATGGGGAGTGAATGTGTAGGATAGATGTTTAGCAAACTCTTCAGCTCTATTCGCATCTGACGAAGCCCAGGAACCATCATCACGGCGGAGGGGGTGGGAAATGGATTGGAATTTAAGGATTTTTTTAGTTACAGTCCAGAGGGAGTTATCACTAGATGATAATGAGGAAAGGTAGGAATTGTAGGATTGGGTTCTAAAGATATCCAGTTTCTTTTTTACCTGTTTGGAATAATAATTATACGATTTCCGGTCATCAGGATGCCTGGTTCTTTGCCAGAGGGCCCTAGAGCATCGTTTGCTATGGATAAGGTCCAATAGGTCTTGGGGTAGAGGATTTATACTGAGGTGTTTTTTGGGACGATCAGGTGAGGATGCAGTCCAAACTGCTTGCTGGATCAGGGTAGTGAAGGAGTCCACTGCATCGTCAAGGTCTTCAGGTGTTTTTAAGGAAACTCTGAGGTCTATATTATCATCCTATTTTTGACGGAAAAGGTTCCAGTTAACTGGTCCCCTGATAAATGAAGGAGGGGATGATTTAGGAATGGGTGATGTGGAAACGGTCAGGACTATAGGACTGTGGTCTGAGGAAAGATCATCAAGCCTTGAAATGGAACAGTGTAATGATCCTAGACCTTTGTGTAGGAAAAAGTCTAGAAGGTCGGGATTGCGGTTGGGATCTGTTGGCCAGTATGTGGGAGTATTAGGTGAAAGGATGTTGCTGCGATGGGAATTAAGTGCAGATAGCAATGTTCGCCCTCGGGAATTTGTGGATCTGGCTCCCCATTGCTGGTGTTTTGCATTTAAATCTGCACCTAGGATGAAATGGTGTCCTAAGGAATTCAGGAAGGAAATTATTTGGGATTCGGAAATGGGTATTTTAGGCGGGGAATATGCCGCAACTAATGTTATTGGGTAAAGGGAAGTTTGGATTATTACGGCAGTGGATTGTAGGAAATTATGGGTTGGTATGGGAAATAAATGATGGGAGAGAGATCGGTGGATAATTATAGCAGTGCCAGCATGTGCTGTTCCATCAGGATGATCGGTTCTATAAATATTGTAGCCAGGAACGTTGATTTGTCGTTTGTTGGTTAGTCGGGTTTCAGTTATTAGTGCTATGTCGATGTTTTTGTCATGTAATAAGATTGTCAGTTCGTTGATGTGATTTCGAATACCATTCGCATTCCATAGGAGAATGGAGAGGGATTTGGTTGAGGACATTTATGGATTTCTCGGCGGTGGAATGAGGTTGGATATAACATTGGTAAGTAATGAAATAAGAGGGGTGATGAGGGATCTAAATTCAGAGAGGAAAGAAGTTAATAGGCTTGTGAGGTCAGTGGAATTGGAAGGAGGAGGAATGTATGTCTGGGTATTGAACCTAGGTTCAGGGATGGATGGATATGGGTCTTGAGGTTGATGTGTGAATTCTCGAGGTTGAGGTTCTTGTGGCAGGGCCTGAGATTGAGTGTTTATAGTGTCTCCTTTGAACATCTGAGCATAGGTCACTCTTCCGTTCACTGTTCTAGAGGGTTGTCTTGGTGGCCTGGATGTCCCTTCTTCTCTAGGAGTTGCGTACATTCTTGTTTTTAATTCTTTATATGTTTGACAACCCTTGTAGTTGGCAGGGTGCCCTTGGTGGCATAAAGCGCATACTGCAGGTGAAGTTCTAGACTTCCTACATTCTTCTGTTTTGTGTTGCTCACCACACCTCACACATCTAGGAATGTGATGACAATATCTTTTCGTATGGCCATAAGCCTGACAGTTATGGCATTGAACGATGTCGCGCTTGGTGTAAGGCTTTTCTACTACAACGCTGGTGTAATAAAGGCGTGTGACCTTGTAGATGTCTTCGACCTGGGGCGTTCGGTCAAGGTCAACGAAGAATAGTGGGAGCGGTATTTTACTTTTTATTCCAGGCTGTTCTCTATCCTCCTTGAATATGTTCACTATCTGGCGAACATGGAATCCCATACCCACGAGCTCTTCTTTTATAGCATCTGTTGGCGTAGATGGGTGCAGTCTTCTGATAACGACCCTGAGCGCCCTCTCTTGACGCAGTTGATACGTGTGGTAATCAGCCTTGGTGTCAGATAAATATTTTATAATTTTTCTGTATGTTTCTGGAGTGTCGGGCATTAATTTAGTGTCATTGGTGCGGCTTTGGCATAAATATTTTCCTGAGCCCACTAGGTTATTCAATTGGTGACACATTAACTGAAAGTTTTTAATATTCCTAAGGAATATTGGTGGGGGTTTGGGTTCCCTGGGGGTGGGTGCTGCTTCCATTTCTTCGTTTTGTGTATTTGATAGCACTTGAAATGGGTTCTGAGTGAAAAACGGCGATTCTTCACCAGTTTGAGTTGTCTCATGATTGTTTTGTTGTTGTGAGGTACCAGGTTGGGGATCCACTTCTTCAACAGAGCTCCCTGGTGTGGCTGGTGGAGTATTTCTTTTCGAACGTCTTGTTCTTTTTTTAATAGGAGAACTCATTGTAGTATCGAGGCTTCTGGACCTAGTATTTTTACCCTTGCTCGACATTAGCATATGATAATATCGCATTTCATATTATAAATGATAGGAAAAATTGTTAAATGAGAAGCGATAACAATTTTTTTTTTTTTTTTTTAAGCACGGAAATATATACGCGTGCTTAGAGAGGACTAGTCGGCACAGAACCTCCTCGGACGGAGAGCCAGAGCCCACTGGTGGGATTAGCGATGTTATGGCCGGCCGTTATCAGTAACTAACCTGAGGTCTATTTACACTGTTCACTATTGAGCTGTAAATAAGTGATTACTCACCTTATTCTTTTGTTCAGTAACAAACTTAATTGTTAATATAACAGGTAACACTGTTGTTTCGCATTGAATTTGAACACTGCCACTATTAATGAAGAATTTTGTAAGAGACGACCTGACGTATGTTTAACTTAGGCTAACACATGCGCAGAACTCTTCTAACTTTACTAAGTTAGTTTTACTCTACATTTTGGTTTATTATGGCAATGCTAATGATTATTTACATCCCCAATTATGCAGTTATCATTTTAATTATCAAATTTATTCAGTTATCTTTCTTACTCTGAAAATAACAAATCAAATTCACAAAACTATTAGAGGTTTTCCAGTATGTATTGTTTTATTCATACATGTGTTTATTTATTTATTTTTTTCTGTTGGCATTACAGACCATGTAGATCTTTTGCCGCCTTAACAAGCCTGCTCCATCTCTTGCCCGTCTTGGGCTATTTCTTTCTATTTATCTTCACGCAGCTCTGTTGCATCTTTGTTGATTCTATCTATCCATCTGCTTTTTGGCCTTCCAGGTGGTCTTTTGCCTTCTATTGAGGCATTCATTGCCACGTAGAGGCATCCAGATTGATTGCGAAGAGCTGATTGCCATACCCTGCCCATCTTAACCTCTGTGCCTTCAAATTATGGGATATTGATTGACCAGTTTCTGTAAGCAGTTCTTTATTGGTCTTTCTTTTCCATGTGTTAGTGTGTTAGTACTCTGATCCCAGATCGCTCCGGTTATCATGCGGAGGATTTTCTTCTCAAATCTTTCAACAATTTTTTCTAGGGTGCTGGTTAGTGCCCAGGTCTCACAGCCATTTATTAGAACTGATTTTATCATAGCTTTATACACCCTTAGTTTGAGATTTTTCAGGATTTCAATAAAAAGTATAGCTTGAGTGTTGGTTGCAATAAGAACTAACATTGCACTATAGGCAGCCATATTCATTATTTTTTATGCAAAACAGAGGAATTTTAGTTGAAAAAAAAACGAGAAAAAATGGTAAAAATTTACAAAAAACAAGACTCAGTAAATTAGACCAAGTAAATTTTTGTATTGAAAAAGCAATTCAGGTTTGTTTCTATTGTCTATTAAAACTCTTCAATATGAATCTGCATTGAAATAATAATAACAAAAGGCTTAGCGAACCTGAACCAGTTGCTGTCTACATTCCTCCCTCCACCGGCTACCGTCCATACCCAGCCAGATCAACCTTAATGCAATCTTCTCACCTTGGCTTCGTCCCATCCTTCGGACGTTTACTAGTCGGCATATCACATATTAATTGCTTAAGGGTTCTTTTGTTACAAAGCCCAACAATTTTACATGCCCACTTTATCCACTGTAAAGTAATCACATTAATTATGTTAATGGGATACATTTCATGCAATTCAGTATTGTGTAACCATTTAAATTCTCTGGTTGTCTCATCCTTCTTAAGTCTGAATATTCTACACAATAATTTATTCTTACAAACCTTGAGACGTTGATATTCTCATCCCTCAATGTTGGTGTGCACTTTTTGTATCCATGAAGAACCGTAGGATAATGGTTTTGTAAATTCTAATTTTTAAGTTTTGGAATGGAAGGTACGAGCTAAGCAGTTCTGCTTCAGAAAAATTGCAAGTATTTCTCTCCTTTAATCTTACTTTTATCTCCTCTTCCATTTCGTTTCTCTACATGTTTTAACTTATTCCTTTCTATATCTATATTACCTAAATGGTCACCATTTTTGCAGCTAACTGTATATTTTGTCTTGTCTATATTTATTTTGAGACTCAGTTTTTTACTGGCTTTCATCAAAGTTGATTTATTTAGTTTTATAGTTCCTGTGTCTTCGCTTAACAGTACCAAATCGTCAGCATAACCAATCATGGATCATGGATATTGTTTCATCCAGATTCAAACCTTTTTCGGTATGCATCGCTTCTCTAATGGCTTGTTCTAATCCTAAATTGAATAGAAAAGGTAAAAGGGAATCACCTTGTTCTAAAACCGAACAAAGTCCAAATTGTTCAGATAAATACTTACTGATTTTAACTTTATTGAATGTTGTTGACATCACGTTCTTAATAAATTAAACTTTTTGGGAATCCCCTGCTTTCTACTAAAATATTATGTAGCTTCTGGCAGTCACAGAATTAGAATCATAAGCCTTTTTGAAATTGATATAAATCTGATCAACAACACCAGTGTACTCTAATGTTTTCTCTAATATTTACCATAAAGAAAATATCTGATCTATAATTGAACGGTTCCGTCAAAATCCACATTGGTAGTCTCCAATAATCTCCTTGTCGTATTCCATGATTCAACTAGTAAGAATTAATGTGAATATTTTATAACATACTGAAAGGAATGAGATTCCTTGATAGTTATTACAATTCGTTCTTGAACTCCTTTTGTGAATTAGAATAAGAATAGATTCTTTCCATTCTGAATGAAAAGTATTGAATAATAAAATAAAAATGTTTTGATTTTATTAGAGGATTTTTTTCCTGCTGTTAAATTGATCATTCATAATGCCTCAGGATTTTCTAATTCAACATTAATAGAAGTCTGAAAAGCTAAATTATTAATCTTCTAAATCATATAAATAAGTTTCAGATTTTACACCTTAGGTATGTAATAAATAAAGAAAACCTCCTAACACTTTTTTAATTTGACTGTGAGGGTATATAATATCCATTAATAATTCATTATAAACCTAATACCTATAGTCTATAATTAATTATACCATTTTATGTAGTTTATGGGGCCCTAAATTCCTGCTAATGTTCTTGTGGATAAAAGGAGTCCTGTTGATGTTTTTGATGATTAAAAAAAAAAGAGAGAGAGAGAGATGAGAAGGCAAATAAATTTTTGCTCAATGTTCCGTCTTCTATTAATAACTTTGATGAGGTTCTTCTTAATATTATTGTATTAAAGTATTAATATTATTGTAAATATTATACAAGTTAAGCACAGCAAAATGTTAAGAAATGTTTTTATTGTGATTAAGAAGAAAAAATTGTTTAATCAACATTTCGCTGTGTGTAATAATATCGTAAGAACCCTCCGACATGGGTCTAATATTTTTGACCTAGTATCACCAAAAAAGTTTCATTGAAATCAATGACCCTACGCCTGTGACACCCCCCTCCAAGTCCCAAAACATTGAAAATATTACAAAAAACAAATATTTCAGTTCATTAACCATATCTATTTAAATTATGTGTTTAGATAAGTTAGCTGCTCTTTGGCCATTTATTGGGATATGTGCTGAAGTTGTGGTTCTTTGTGCTATCATATTTATTTATGAAAGGAAGCGTAATAAAGCTGAATTGGAAGAGAGTGACACAGATCAAAGTCCCGAACAGTAAGTTAATATTTATAAATATAATATTATGCAATCCAATCCAGAAAACTTAAATGAAAGTCATCAATAAGATAATGTAATAAATCAGATTATAAATTAATTTTTAGATCATCATCCATTTATGTGTATGTATCAGCTAACAATAGTGGTCATAAACTGTTAAGTTAGTCTAATCATAGCTTTCATTAGAAATATGGGACATTTATGGAAACAGGGTGTCTACTAGATCGGAAAAGTTAGGAATTTTATGGAAAAATACCATAATTCAGGGAATTTCATGAGCTATTATTTAGAATCAATGTTGGTTACAAAAAGTGCACGTAATAATGATAAATACACATTTATTTACATAAAACATTGCTATATTAAGATGTGTTTTTTGATTTTTCTGTTGAGATCATACATGTATTGTTTAAATGTCAAAGAGGCTTTGCTTTGATATTTTTATTTGTTTGCAAAAAAGAGGCTGTATCATTTTTGTTAAATTCCCAACTAATGTCTTATAAATACTTTTAACTTTCTTATAAGGTCTCCAGCTTTGTGAATTAAATTATTTAAAATGTTCAATATTTTAACTAGTAGGTGCAATGATAATTAATAAAGACCACTCTACATAATGTTAGATTGGAGACAAAATAATTTTTCTTTCATCTTGACGAAAAAGAATAAGTTATGTCTCTGACATTAAATTATCATATAAAGTAATTTATCATTGTCATTTATTGCCTCATAATATTTTTAGTATAATATCCTATTAAAACTACTTCAATAAATTTATGTCGATTTAATTAATCGTTCTTTTTTCAAACATGGCTTGGATAAGTTAAGAAATTTCTAAAAAAGGTTTCGGTTGACACCATGTGGAACATTTATACAGATTTGGTAGATTTTTCTTATTAAATGAAAGAATATTTATAAAATTAGACTTTAACAGAAAATGGTAATATTAATCACATTCAATGTTCTACTTTTTAAAAAAATTATTATTAATTTCTTTTACTATCAAAATTTAAAAAATTGCTATAGAAATGAATTTTCTTGTAAAAGAAAACAGAAAACAACTTGAGACTGAATTATTTTGTGGTTTAACTTTATGTCTTGATAGTTGTCATTATTAATGTGGATAGATAGATAGATAGATAGAAAAAAAAACTTTATTCTGGGACTAAGTCCCTTCAGAATAACAATAATGTACAAAATAATAGAATATTACTGGCCTGAACGTTGAAACAATAAACAAAATTGATAAAATAAAATAAAAAGTAAAGAAATCTTAGGTGCACAAGCTATATACAATACAGATAAAACTATGTACAGAGCATTTAAAATTATGAATAAAACAATTAAAACTATGAACGAATCATTTGAACTATGAACAAAATTATATTTAAGGGTTGAACAACATAAACATACACTTTGAGAAATGAAGAACGAAAAAGAGATACAATGAGTTCATTTCATAAAAAAAAAAAAAACTTTACTTGAATATATATATGAAAATAAACAGTTATTTATAATTGAATAAAAAAAAAAATAAAAAAAAAATGTATGTATTGAAATTCCTACGTCGATAGTAGGAAATGCATGTACTATCTCTTACCAAGTGTTATGATTATATGATTGCTACACAATACATGTATAATATTAATCGTTAGCTGGTATCTGACTGTTTTTGGAACAGGAATTGAATAAGTGTGTGAAACCAAAAAAAAAAAAAAAATATACCATTTATATATATATATATATATATATATATATATATATATATATATATATATATATATATATATATATATTTAACCAGAACTGTACAAATAAATTTTTATCTCAACCACTTTTTGTTCAATAAATACATTTGTTCTCTTTTTTAGGAAAAATACTCCTGATCATGGCAAGGAATCTGTTCGACAGAGAAAATAAAGTAAAGAAGATTGTGTATCAAAACTTAGTTACATGGCCTGTAAAATTACTCTGTTGAAGTAATTTTTGAAAATGTTGATTTTCCTAGGCTTATTACACATAATTTGTCACTTATTGTTTCAAACATAAAATTACTGTTGGAATGTGGTTTTTTAATTTAATTTTATTCTTTATTTATTTAATGAAATATTGATATAGTCATGTGTTATCAAAATTGATTCAAATATGTGTTATTTTACTCATTTCCCATTTGAATAAGTTGATGTGGAACTGTACTTTTTTATTTTAAAATAGATTTATATACAGGTCAGTGGAATCTTTTTTTTTATTTCATAAATGCTTTTTGTTTATAATTATCGTCATTAATCTTCTCTTATTAACTAGTATTTTCTTTTAAAAATATGGTTTATATTTGTTTATTTAGTAATTTCTGGATATAGTGTGAATTTAGTTTCTAAACAAATAATTTTATCTTTAACTTTATGTTAGTTACCTAATGTAACTTATAATTATATTAATGTAACTAATTTGTTATAGAGTTTCCATTGTTTTTATTTTTAATAAAATATGCTTCCATTTTTATTTTTAAATGGGTTTCTAGTCATAGTATTTTTGGTTTAGTTTTTTTTTCTTCTATTTTTTAAGTAATCAAAGATTTTGTTTGCCCCTTCTGTTGGCAGAATAAGTATCTATAATAAAATACATGAGTTATCATGATAATGAAGTTATTGACTTTTATTCCAAAAATTAATTCTTTTTAATCTTATGTATGTTAGAACCAAAGAACTATTAATTTCATAACTTAAGTTATTTTTGCAACAGTAATTTTTAACAAAGCAATTAAAAATTTATCATGATTATTGATGTTATTATTCTAATTTTTTTGTGTGCAGAAGGGAATGCCTTAATTTCCTAATACTTACATTCAGGCACATTCTAATACACAATCCTTGGAATTATGAGTGTGGATTAAGACAGTAAACAAAACCCAGAGTATTATTTTCAGCAATAATTCAGTTTTCTTTATTCTTTACTAAAATCAGTGATTTTCTGTATTTTTAAACTAATGATTTTTTATTCCTACCTTTTAATTATGTATCATGTAAAAGTAATTGAAAAAAATGTCTATACCTTGTTTCAAATTAACAATCTTTTAAATATTTATTGTTATTAGTCATTTGTCTTATTATTCTTTTATTATACTATTAATTAGTATTATTTTCGTGTATGTGATATATCTTTTAACGCCAATTATTATATTGATATGTTGATAATTTTTATAAATTTTTAATCCTGTTAACGTTGACGATCAAATAACATACAAATTATGTTTGCTGTTTTAATATTTTCTTTTAAGTATCTTACTAACCAACTTGATCTGTATACATATTAGTTTATTTTGAATTTGATGTTGGAAAATGAGCTTGTTGAATACTTTGTGATGGCACCATAAATGACTGTATACCATTATATTAATTTATATGTTGAATTAAACTGTTTGCTGTTCTTAAATTCATGAAACTAACAAGATTGGACAGTGGCACAGTTAGAATTCATTATTCATTGCATAATTTTATAAAGGGATGTGTTTTTCTTGGAATTTTATTTTTTTAATTTTAAAGCTTTTCAGATTCTTACTGTGGTACTACAATTTTGTTTCTTATATTAAAGTATTTTTTATCAATATCAAAATAAGTAATTATTGTAATGGTATGTGTTTATATTAATATACTTGGAGCTCTTAATGGTAAGTTATTTTCATTTTTATGTATGTGTATGGTAAGCATAGGTTCAATTAACATTTTTTATAATCTTGGCTTCATCTGATTTTCCATACTATAGCCATCGTTGTTTCTTTAATATTTGAATTATCTACTTATCTGTCTACTATAATATATATTATGAAAATATCCAAAATAATATTTCTAAAAATAAGCTAGTGTTTGTTCTATGTACTAAAAATTATGTTGATGGTTTAGTGGTCATTTTTTAGCTCAAATGCTCCTCATTGATATAATAATATAAAATTGTTCAAAATAACGTAAAGTAACTCCTTTTTAGTTACTAATGGTGCCATTAACATTTTATTTAAGTGCATTAGTTTTAACACCATAATTTTTTAATATGGAACATGTTTTTGTGACCAATAACCCTTAGAAGTATATATAAAAAAAAAAATTAAATAAGAGAAACTGCAGAAATAAAAGAGGGCCATCTAAATTATCTCAAATTGTTCAAACTTTAATTAATAGATCAATTAATCCCTGGAAACTTGAGCTCATGTGTTAAGAATTCAGGCTTATTTTAAAAATAATTTACTGTATAGGTGAAGGAAACGAATTTTCAAAACATGTTCCATGTTTTCAGCTCAGGTTGAAGCCCTAAAGTACTTAAGAAAGTGGAGTAAGGAACAAGGAGAGTAAAACTCGTATTGCGAGGCAGGAACTGTTGTTATTTATGTATTACTACTTTCTCTATTTTTGTGACCTAGATAAGAAAATCTTTCATGATTTAATTAAATGATTGTTGAGGTTTGATAATCATTCTGTTAAATTTATTTATATTTAATAATTTTGAGTACTTATGTGGCTAATTGATAATAATTTCTTTTTAATAGGGCTTTTTGTATCAGTTTATACTATAAGTATTCTGACTCACTTTTTAAAAAAACATTCTGACAAATTACTCAAATTTATGTATGTTATTTACTTCTAAATACATGTTAAAGTATTTCCCATTATTTGATTATTTCTTATTTGATAGATAAGAGCCTTAATTAATAACAGTTATATCTACCATTTGGTGCTATTGGTTAAATTTTACATTTATATTTTAATGTTTTTTAATGCCCCTGTTTTTTTTTATTCCTACTGTGTCTTATGTGGTTCAAAATTGCATAGTGTTCTCCATGAACCCACATTATCAGAACCTTTGACTCTTCATTGAAGAAATTTAAAGTATTTACAGCTAACTGAATGTAAAACATGAGGTATTGCATAAAATGATAGTAATAAGCAAGCCCAGTCTGACTCTATTTGGGGCCCTTGGCTAGAGACTGAAGTGGGGTCTCCTTATCAGAGCAATAAATAAATTATATATATATTGATAAGTAGGCATATGCATATGGATATAAAAGTGGTTTCCAGGAATTTAAATATAAAATAAATTTAGCAAACAATTATTTTTGTTGCCAAACATACCACAAATACGAAATAATGTTCTCCGGGGCCAATTTTAACAAAATAGTTTTACAGCAAGTAAAAACCATTTATATAAGTAAAAGTACAAAACATTTATGTGAGGGGATCCATCAAATTCCTATCGGAAGGGGCCCCAACAAACACAATTAACAAATACAAAACAATTATTTTTGGGGCCAAACATATAACGGTACTATATAAATACAAAGTATACTTTGGGCTATGATTGGGGACCCACATTCATTTTATGCCGATAAAAAACTATATTGGGAGCTCATCGGAGGAGCTCCAAAAAATTGAGAAAGAAAGGAATACAAAATAATTATTTTTTGGGACAAATATCCCACGATACTATACAAAATACAAAATAATGATATTCTTGGCCCACAGAGGGTCTCTCAATCATTCTACGACGATAAAAAAGTACAAAAGATGCTTGAACCCACCGGATGGGCTCCAAAAATATGCGGAGATAAACAAATACAAAACAATCATTTTGGGGACCAAACATACCACAGTACTAGAAAAATACAAAATAACGGTATTTAGGGTCCCCCAATTCTACGGTGATAAAGTACAATAAATTTATGTTGGGATCCCAAAAATATGTGGGAATGAACGAATACAAAACAATTATTTTGTGGCCAAACATACAATGATACAAGATAAATATAAAGCAATGATCTTCGTGCCCTCAGAGGGTGTCCCCCTAATCATTCTACAGTCATAAAAAAGTACAAAACATTTATGTTGGAAACCCAACCGAACATCGAAAGGGCCCCAAAAATTTGTGGAAATAAACTAATACAAAATAATTATTTTGAGGGTACTAGAAAAATATATAACAAGGGTTTTGAGGTCACCGTGGCTCGAAGGCCTTCGGCAAACGTCGACCTGGCCAAATTGGGCCTGGTAACAAGATAAAATAGTAGAATCGTATTGAATCTGAAAATTCCTAATGGATTTTCAGATATGTATGTTATCTGGTGATATAGAACCAAGACCATTCAGTTACCTAATCATCACTATAGCAGCACATCCATTGTCCTCTCCATTAGGCATTTGATCATTTTGACTGATGAAAGCTTTCTGTACCAACATGATTTTTTTTAGGACAACTGTTTCTTAATGATCAAAAATGACTAAATCTTTGTTTAGTATAGCATAATTTTTACAGTTAAATGAAGTGATACTACAAGAAAGTAAATTCCTTTGCAGAATGGAAATTCTTAGTCAATATTGATTGGCTGAATAAGATGAAAGAATAATATTTTCTGGCAGTGGATAATTTTTGATTATAGAAGGTATGAAGAGAAGTTGGTTTGGATTTTCACTCAATGAAAACCCAAAGTAAAAATAAATAAATTATATTTATTTTTTATTTCCTTTGAGCTTAAGTTTCATGCCTTCATTAGAGCTATGCAAAGACAAGATAACATATAAACCTTAAGAAAATGGTAGACCATAATAGTAATGATACGTAGGTAAAAAAAGTATAGTAAAATAATATGTTGGTAGTTAAACTTAATGTTAATAAATAAATATACGGAATAATAAATAATAATAATAACGGATTTGGAAAAGATGGGCCGCTTATTAAGTACGGAAATGATAAAATCACGGCAACGTCATCCAAATTCTTCAGTGCCAAGAAAACATGAAGGTAGAGGACTTATTAGTTTAATGAAGGCCTGCCGTGAAGCCAGGCTTAGAACCTACTTCATGAATAGTACTTCGACAGAGCTGTCGACTGTTGCTGCCCTTGACTGCAACTATACAGCACTTAATATGCTTCGGCAAGGACCAATGACAATGCCAACTGAGGAGAGCCTCACTGAATCATGGAAGTGTAAATCACTTCATGGAAGATTTTACAATTCCCTGAAAACACCTGGCATAAATTTAGAAGCCTCGGTCCGTTGGTTGACTACAGGAAAAATGTTCCCAGAGACAGAGAAATTCCTTCTGGCAAAGCAAGAACAGGTAATGGCAACATCCTCCTACAGGAAGCATATTCTACGTGAAGCAGTCGATGACAGATGCCTTCTATGTAAAGCCACAAATGAATCGATTCAACATGTTACCTCTGGCTGCCAGGCATTAGGGGGTAAAGAATACCTAGCGAGGCACAATAATGCAGCAAAAGTTGTGCCTCAGGCTCTGGCACAAAAATATAAATTAATAATAGGCCATCAGCCTTTTTATAGATATCAGCCGCAGGCTATATTCGAAAAAGGGAATGTAAAGCTGTACTGGTATCAAACTATGATAGCTGACCATAGTATTCCCCACAATAGACCAGATATACTGCTCGTTAACAAAGAAACAAAAAAACCCATCATTATCGAAGTTGGAGTTCCTGCTGATGATAATGTAGCTAAAACATTAAGTGAAAAAATTGGGAATTATCAAGAGCTTTGTGAGGAATTATGGCAGTTATACCGGCTGGTGGAAGTAAAAGTACTACCCATTATCGTATCACGACAACACTGGTAATTTTAAGTGACAAGATATAAAATCACATATATTTTTGTAGACAACTTAAGGTTAAATTATAGAGAAGATATAGAAGCCTCGGAACTAGCGAACTGTCTAACCGGAAATGACATGGTGTGATTCAGGATCCTATGAATGGGAACATGAAATATAAAGACATTAAATGGAAAAGAAGTGGAGCTTGTGGAAAAAATGCTTAGATATAAGATAGATGTCCTGGGAATCAGCGAGGCGAAGAAGAAGGGTAGTGGAGAGATGAAATTAGACCATGATCACGTGCTCATCTACCCTGGTGTTCCAAAAGATAGGTTTGCAAAGGAAAAGTATTGGTATAGTAATGAACAGCGAAATGTATTGTCTAGTAAATGACTGGAAACCCATTTTATCCAGAATAATTGTGGCCGAATTGCAACTTTCAGTTGGAAAATCAGCCCTAATACAGGCCTATGCACCAACGGAGGATGCATTATCATCCATGGCGCTACAACTCCTGTAGAGTCAAATCCTCCTGTAGCTTGGTGCTCCAGTCTTTTCTATTTGTTACCCCTGCTCTCCAATTGCGGATTCCCAAGATGGATCTGACATCCACTGACACTCGATCAGAGCCGAGGTCTTCCCATTCTTTTTGTTCCATAAATCCTTTCGTCTAGGACCATCCTAGTAATCTGATCCTGGGTCATTCTAATTAAATGACCTGCCCATCGAAGCCGGCCTACTTTGATCAGCCTTACGATATCTGAGATATTGTTGAGTCTTGTTAGCTCAGTATTCGTCCTTATCCTCCAGATTCCATAGGCACAAACTGGGCCATAAATTCTTCTCTCAAACCATAGGAGAAGGGTTTCCTGTGAACTGAGAAATATTCAGCATTCAGAGACATAAGTGAGAACTAGTCTTACCAGGGTCTTATACAATTGCACTTTTTTGTTTTGAAAGATAGCCCTGATCCTGAAATGCTTCAGTATTCTGAAATAGCATTTATTTGCAGACATAATTCTGCAATGGATCTCTGCTTGTATGTCATTATCCGCGTTTAATTGTGAACCAAGATAGACAAACTCTTTCATCCTTTCAAATGAAAAGCTTCCAGCCATAAAATGCAATGGTTCGTACACATCCAGTTGTGGGCCTGCATGCATGTATTTGGTTTTTGATTAATTAACCTCTAAACCCCCACTCTAGCTGCTATCTGGAGAGTGGTAAAAGCGTTTTCTAAATCTGTATGGGTTCTTTCAACAATATCTAAGTCATCGGCGAGGCCAAAATCATAGATCTATTGAATTTAGTTCCCCCAACTTGTATACCAGATTTCCGTACCGCAATTTCGAGGGCCAAATTGAAGAGCAGGCATTCGAGGCTATCATCATGTCTCAGTCCTTTATGGATTTCAAAGCTATCAATCAGGTTACCTTCTTTATTATAGCCCTAACCAGAAGTATCAGCTTTGGTGGTATTCCCATTTACAGAAGCTTGGTACAGCCCGTTTCTCTTAATACTATCATAGGCCATTCAAAAGTCGATGTGTGTGGATATTATACTCTCTGCATTTCTCCAGAATGCTTCTGATGGAGAATATTTAATCTATGATAGACTCTACTCTCATAAAGCCTATCTGGCACTTTCCTATATTCTGCTCAGCAAAAGGAAGCAGTTTTTAAGAAGTTTCTGAGGGAACACCTTATAAGCACATGATAAGAGGGATATACCGCGACAGTCAAGCACATCCTCCTTCAAAAATCGGGCACATAATTTCTTTGTACCATTCATAGGGGATTTCCTCCATCTCCTAAAAATCCATTATTATATTAAAGAGGAATTTCAATAAATCTTCTCCTATATAATTAAACAGTTCTGCAGGGAGTCATCTGTTCCTGGTACTTTATTATCTTTAACTCTTCCACCGTTTCATTGACATAGTTCACATCAGGGAGCTCCAATTCCCCTAGGGCCATCTCTATTTCCTCTCTCCTTCTTCTGCCACTTCATAAAGGAGGACATCAAAGTAATGTCGCCACTGTTCCAGAACATGTATCCTATTTGTAAT